ACATTGAAAATTTTAAAGCTGTTGAAACTAAACTTGTCCTTTCATTGGCAAAGAGACTTCTTATTTTTTTGGCTAGTAAATGCCACAGTTTGGTTAAACCTGATTGGTGAAAACTGTCAGACTGCTGAAAAATAAATTGAAGGTGAAAGGAAGAGGTCACAAAAATAATGAGATGTTTCAGCATCCATGGTGGAGTGAGCTTCAACATTCACATTTTTGCTAGCTGATTGATAATGTTACTGAACAGCATGAAAGTAACCAGAATTATTAGCCAGCTTTTCATTCAGTAGCAAAGAACATTTATTAATAAGTCTACAAATGACAATAAATCACACAGGCAATAATGTGAGATCACGTCATAAAAAAATATGTTAGAAATACTAAGGGCCTGAGTTTAAGGTAATATTCTCCATTTAACTGAGCAACACTTATCTTTAAAAAACCAAACCAACAAAACCAGAACTTCACTGTTTAGCCTTTTCAAGAGCTGTTGCATTACTCTCAAAGACAACTGCAATGGTTAACGGTCAGAAATAAGAAAAAAGTGTGCTCATCCCTGTATGAATTTACCTGTTTTAAAGTTCCCATTCCTGAGAAAACCCAGTTACGCCTCTTTCCTTATCAAAAGTATGAATTTGCTGTTTAAGAACAATTAATTAAGTGATTTTTAAATGATTAATAAAAAATCTTGAGCAAAGTGAATAATGCTAAAGCAACAACCTGCAGTATGGGATCCAAATTCTAGATCACAGAATCATAGAATGGTTTGGGTTGGAAGGGACCTTAAAGATCATCTAGTTCCAACCCCCCTGCCATCAGCAGGGACACCTTCCACTAGATCAGGTTGCTCAAAGCCTCATCCAGCCTGGCCTTAAACACTTCCAGGGAGGGGGCATCCACAACTTCCTTGGGCAACCTGTTCCAGTGTCTGACCACCCTCACAGTGAAAAACTTCTTCCTACTATCTAATCTAAACCTTCCCTCTTTCAGTTTAAACCCATTTCCCCTTGTTTTGTCATTAGTTGCCCTTACGAATGCCCTTAGATGATCATGAAGACAAGAGGTTATTTGCCAGGCTGCACCCTGCCTTTAAACCAATACTGAAATTAAGATGACAATTTATTACTATGAAAGAATAGAAGAAAACTGCGGGGAAAAAAGGTTACTTACCAGTAGCCAGAGCTCTTTGCAATGTGTTCTGTGCCTGCACATTTGCTCTATAGAGGTCCCAACATCAGAGGCATCCAAGATCATAAAATGGGAGGTTTTTTGCCCTCACAGTACTGTGGGTATTGTACTCATCTGTCTCCCTTTTCCTTGACTTGACAGCAAGCATAGAGTTCTGTCGTTCTGTCAGCCATACATTGCAAGGGAGAAGGGTATGTGGTTACCACATGTATGGACAGCACACAAGCAGCTAGAATCTCTTTGAGATAAGCAACTTGTCTTTACATGCGTATCCATTTATATGGCCACACCACGGATAATGAAGTGTCCTAGAATTCTCAGAAAAAGGTGTCTGGCAGAGACTTCCTGGTTCTTTGGCTGAAGATTTCTTTAACTGGTTGTCCAGTTTGCAAAGATATGGAACAGAGATATAACTGAGCAAAGCCTCAGTTATAGTCTGAGAACTATTGGAGTATATCCTGATTACTGATGGTGGCTCAACCATACTGTTCAAGATCTGTTACCTAGCCTGGAGATGGTTATCCTGTTTGATTTCTCACCTGGTCAAAAGAACTAGATTAAAGATATTCTGAAAGTTTCTGTCCCATGCAAATAAGAAGACAATATTCTCTTGCCACCCAACATGTGAAGGGAGATCTCAGACCTGAAAAAACAAGATTTAAAATTAAAACATTGATGGGTGAATTTCCTGATTTGGCGATCTGGCAGAAATCCCATGTGAAGTCCAAGGGATTTGCCAGGAAAATATGTGGGAGGGAAAATGTCAGCCATTGGGATTTGGATCTTCTGCTGCCCAGCAGAGGTGATGGACATCAAAACCAGCAAGGATATGTTTAAAACACCTGAATTTAAACAACCTGATGTGAAACATGACCAAGGTACTTGTGCTTTTGAGTTAACACATCCTAAGAAAGCAGTCTTGACCCAGCAGTCGGTAATGGCAGTCCACATGTTACTGAAGTAGGCTAACTTGTATTCAAACAGACTAGGGCACAAAGAGGAAGCAAGAAGAGAAATCCAGAGAAAATAAGGTTCTGAGGCCACCTCCTCCAAAACAGTGCTCTGACAAAAAAGAAAAAAAAGGCAAAAAAGAAGCATACCAGCTACAGAAAGGCAGGTAAATACCCTTCAGGGACTACAAGAACCTTGCTAGGGCATGCAGAGATGTGGTCAGGAAGGCTAAGGCTCAGCTAGAACTAAAACTGGCCAAAGATGTCATGAACAACAAGAAAGGATTCTTCAGATACGTGAGCAGTAAGCAGAAGCAGAGGGAAGACACAGGCCCATTGCTGAACAGGGTGAGGAAACTACTCACTAATAATGCTGGCAAGGGAGAGGTTCTCAATATCTTCTCTGCCCTGTCTTTACCAGCATAGCTGGACTGCAGAGCACAGGATCAAGTAGCTATGACAACTCATGTGTCAGTAGCAGTGGAAGGGCCGGTCTGCAGCCTCTTGCAAGGGCTCAACCCACATAACTCCACGGGCCCAGAGGAAATCCACCCTGGGATAATAAAAGATGTGGCTGACATTAGTGCAAGGCCACTGTCTATAATCTTTGAAAAGCCTGCTGATCTCAATATAAGAAATAATTTTTTTATGCTGAGATCAATAAATCAGTGCAACAACCTCCCCATCACTGAAGGTTCTAAAAATGCAATTGGACAGGGTCCTCTCATCTAGGCTCCCTTTCCCATGAACGGTTGGACTGGATGATCTTTCAAGGTCCTCTCAAACCTGGGCTGCTCTGTGATAAAGATCAATGAGCTGAGGGATTCAATTGCTAAAGATTTATGTCTGTAGAAACACTGGCATTTTCACAGCTGTTTCTGAAATTGGACAGTGCCATGTGAGAGGCTGCATCAGCTGAATCAGTTGGCCAGCTGTAAACAAGAACTGAGTATCACACCTCAGGCTCAAGCTATCTGCAAGGATGTGAGAGAGATTGTACTGCATTTAGAAGGAAAGCAAGCTTTTATTTCCATGTTACTATTATCTGGGTTACATGAAACTGGAGAATATTGGAGTAAAACTCTTCCAACAGTATTGGAATGCCTGGGAAAACATCTTCAAAATATTCAGGAGTCACATGCTGTCAGCTTCCTTAAAAGGTTTAACAGAGAGGACTGTAAATCTCCCATGCCTGTTAGGGCCAGAAGTGAGTTAGGAATAGCACAGGGCTTGGAAGCAGGGTCAGAATTTCTAAGGAGAGCTGAATTGAAGAATGCTATACCTCTGATCTGCAACTTGGTCCTACAGATGGCAAGATGGGCCTCTAACTCCTAGGGAGAGAACAAGCACAGCATATTGTCAGCAACTGTCTTTCATATTTCCATAAACCCTGCTGACGAGATGCATACCTCCTCAGACAGAGAGACTCAGTCCTCATACTGCTGTGCCCTTTGAAAGGCAGAATGTGGGAAGAGCCCAGCTGCCATGGCCAGCTCCAGCACTGGAGGCTGTCCTCCAGCAAGTCAGTAAGTACTGAGGCAGAGCAGGGCAGATGGTTCCATCCTATCAGGGTCCTCTGCACTGAGTGCTTTGGTCTGTGGTATTGGGTATGACTGATCCTGTAGTACAGCCTCAGATTACACGGCTTGGGCAGAAGAGGATCCAAGCAGCTCAGTTAGTGGAATTAAAACCACAGAAATTCTTCTGTGATGGCTGGCTGAGATCCTCAGGTGCTGAGAAAAACTACAGAACTCACCCAAGCCTCATCTAGTAGCCTCTTAGTGTTGGAGTGGTCTTGGAGCTGCTAGTGCAGAGTGGGCAAAGGCCCCCATTTAAGCTGATCTTTTGGTTAAGCTATTTCTGGTGCAACCATGTGTTTCTTGATTGGGTGAGGCTCTTCCTTGTCCAATATTGCCAGAGAAAGAGAATGTTCATGTTAAATAGAACTTGGCCATGATCCAAGATCTAGAAAATCCTAAATGCTAATGTCAGAGGTAGACCACCACTTTTACTAGGATACTTCTCTCATTGTAAGCAACAGGTATTAAATGTATAATTTCCTGTTGCAAAAGGAAGCAAGAAGCAACCATATGTCAGTGTTACTCATCAGTGAGGCACATGTCTCAAGATAGAAACACTTTTAAACCCATCCTTAGATGGAGCTATGGAGTATGACCCAGGCAACATATATGAAGTATCTAGGCCCATTTCTAATAAGGAAAGGAAGAGCAGCAGAGACCATGCTCCCGTAGGGAGGGGCACTGGATTTGACAAACTCAAATTTAAAACATAATCATATCAGACTTGTTGGAAAAGAGAACTACATAGCCAAAGTCTAACAATAATTAAAAAAATACATGAACATAAGTTAGGAGGCATCTAGAATGCCTCCATCATTGTACACTGAGTATGGAAGAGGGAGGGGCAGCATCAAAAAGCTTTAGCTTCTGAGACCAGAAAAACAGGAGGATGCTGTCTATGAATACCTGCAGTATACACTTCTCTGTTAAGTTTTTCATAGAATAAAACAGCTGATGTCTACTACAACACAGTATTCTTTTGCATCCACAAAACAGTCAGTACTGACCTGACCATTTGCTGCTTCACTTTTGATCAACTGTATCAACGTATCATCAGAATATTTAAAAATATGAACTTGCTCTACTTTCCCTGCACTTGTAATGGCGTCCAGTGTTCCATTCAACAAGAAACAAATCTCTCTTCAAACAACAGGAAAAACTAAGTTTGGTTATAAAGGTCTTGTTCCCGTGGAAACACTGGCCTTTTCAAGATGTTTGATCACGTATTTTCCATTTGATCAATCAGAAAGAAATAGCAGCAAAACACTGAAAACACAACTCAGAGAGGAAAGTTAATTTATTTGTCTAAAACATCAAACTAAGTTGAGATACCTTAGTTCAGTCAAAGCTTCTTCAGTTTCCTCACAAGCCTGGACTTCATAAACAAATATTCCAAGTTCATCTATCTACAAAAATAGGATGGACAATTCTTGACTTTCTTCAAATAAAGTTAATTTACAAGTCCTTGAAGATCAGATGAAAAATGGGAAGTGATCCTGTATTCCTTAATACACTCCACCACATTTCCCAAGTGTGCTGGAAAGGAGGAATATTAGCCTTCTTTGGAAAGGTGCATGGGAAGGCTCATTGCCATCTCTTGGAGACAGGGTATATACATTTACATCACCATGACTGCCATGGTACCGAATCCTTGACTGCTACTTTTATAGGGTGTGACCAAGTATCTGAGAGTTGTAGTCCGCTGTCTCCATTCGCAGAATATATGGGATGATGCTATCAATCTGAACATTCCCAATTAGTCCTGCAAAGAATAGCTCTTCAGTGATGGCAGCACTCATCAGCCTAAGAGCAGGCAACCGGAGAAGTAGTCTAGACAGCCTGGAAAATAAGTTCAGTAAGAAGTGTTACTTGTGGTCACAGATTTTGGTGTTATTCACAATCATGTTATCAGTAACAGAAGAGAAAAAAATAACAAGGGACAATATTGGTGAAAATTCACTACACCTAGTTCATGAAAGGCTTAAATATTTAAATCAGTAGAGTATTAAATTTATATTCAGTCATGTCTTCAAGAGTACAAAAAATGTGAATATGCCAGTCAATCACATGGACTGTATAATGTTTGGACTTAGACTAAATGAGAAATATTCCAAGGAGGTGCAATTCAAAAAGAAAATATTAAAAATATATTTTTATTTCCAATATTTCATTTTAGAAATTAATAATGAATGAGTAGATAAGTAATATTCATAATATGCATGAGAATATGCAGAATATCTGAAGTGCTCTAAAGGTAGTTCCTTACCTTTAAGGAAGTAAGAAGAAAATGTTTATATTTATTACAAGAAATACTGTACAAATCAGTATCACCAATGCTTTGAAAAGAGAAGCAATCAAGTAGTAAAGCATATAAGTTTACAGACCTGTAAGTATCATCTGGATATGCTTTTGTTACATAGTCCTGGAACTCCATGTAAGCCTTTTCTTGAAACTTCTCAATCTGTAGCACATTTTCTAGACCCGGATGATCTGGAAAAAAATCCCAAACAACCCACTCTACATTGTAGTTATCCCTAATTCTATAGAAGATTCACTAAAATCCATAGAGATTATCTAATTGTAAGCATACTGAAAGCATTATTTGGTAGCTGTAGCAACTTTGCAGTTTTAATGGAGGGCACCGCTTTTCCTCCTTATGTTTTTTTTCCTCTATGTTTATGTTTTACTTAGTTTTTTATAAATACAACCAGACATTTTTAAGAGTTCAAATAAATGCAGTGCTTGCAATGTTTACATTAATCTTGATTGTACAGCTCTGCTCTCTGTGTAGCAGAAGAACAGCATTGTTTCAATACACTACATTTATTGGAATATTGTATGCATTTGGGTGGGAAATGAAGGATAAAAATAAGATCAGTGGAAAAAGCAGAATAAAAGGCTATGACCCATTTGTTTTCTAAAAACTGTAGAAGATATGTAGCAGATCATTCTTTTTCAACTGTTTGGTGCTAAATTTTCAAACGTGCTAAACATAATTTTTAGCAGTGATTTAAACACTTGAAATCTAAATCTTCCTAAAATGAAAACCTAGCTGCCAAGTCTCATTTGGAAATTATTATCTGGCAATTCCGAACACTTTACATGGTCTGTAATTTTTATGATCCATTTATCTTAATGTAAATATTTTACTGTCATGGAGCACAATAAATCATGTAATTTTATTTTTCAGAAATGGGACCATAAATGAGCTGCCAAATTATGTCAGATAAAATATTTGTAACAGTCACTTCTCATCTCTGAATATATGGCCATCTGTCCACAAAATCAGGAGTTTTTGGTCTAGCTATGGAGATATAGGAGCTTTCAGAGCAATGTAGCAGTTATGTGATACACTGGACAATGCTGAACACATCAGTTCACAGAGGAGTATTTTGTCCTATATAGTAATTCAGTCATTCTGAAAGCATGATTTCAAATTTATGCAGAGGACAAGAGGTTAGCAAGGTCATAAAGAAGCAACACATTTGAAAGACTTGTCTTTGACAGGCAATATGCATTGCTGAATTCCTGTGGATGCTGCCACTTTTACCGTGAGATGTGGATACGCTTTGGAGATACCACATAAATATGAGGGAAACTGCAAAGCAAGAACCCCATAATTTCTAATATATATTAGAAAACCTGCTTAAAATTTACATTTTTGGAGTGTCCAAGTTCCAAAAGATTTTTCCACCTCAACTAATTTCTCTGTGGAAGGATGAGCTGCAACTGAATGGAAAAAGAAAAGTCTTGTGAGATCTGATAAATCTACACAACCGACAAGAACCAAATACCCAGTTCTCCTCCCTATCATACCCTACTGACAGGGGGCAGGTCACTGAGATTCAGACAGCTTTTAAAAATTTCCTCTGATCTTTTCTATGGGACATCAGAATCTAAAAGAGGCACAGCCGTGAGGATTAAGGAAGCTGCTGAAGCTTTCAACACTTTCTAATGCAAAACAGAAGATTTACTTTCTAAATGTGATAGCGAAAAACTCCTGAAGATACAGAAAGTACTTGAAGTTTATATGTTTTTCTTTTATCAAAAAATTTGGTTTTTGTTTTATATTAAAAGCCTAGATTCTGAATGTTTAATCTAAAACCTGCAATATGATATAATATCCGAATGACTTTAGTGAAAAGTTAATTTTATGATTTTCAAATAAAGAAAATTAATTTTGTAATTTTCTACATTTCAGGTGTATGTGCTACATAATCTAACTACTCTGTCACTATCTATTTTAACCAGGGATCCTTCTTCCTCCATATTGTAGACTAATCTCCCAGAAGGGAAAACTAATTATTATTTTATTTTATTTTCACTGTCTTAATATATGTTCATTAATGTTACTTGGAGTACATTAGGTAAAGACAGTTCAGAAGACAGAAAAAAATAATGTAAGGGAATGTTTGTGGTGTTCATTCACCAGAAATGCTGTATGTAATACTTATTTTCAAAATACCCACGTGCAGTGAGGTGATATGTTTCTGTAATTTTGCATGTGAGAACCAATGCCCAGAGAGATAATCTTTCATACATTAAAAACACAACTTCAATCCATCTCAGCTGGGTGTGCAAGAGCAACACTTCCGAAAATTAAACTGCAGGTCCTCAGAAAAAGTTCCCCAGAAAGGAGGCAAAAAATTAAAAGCAATAAATAGTTATTTTTTAAAAAAAGAACATCCATGGCAGAGGCAAGAGGCATTCAGCTATTTACATTAAAAGATGAACCCTCCTCTTCCTACAGTCCTCATTACACACCTTTCCAGATTCCTCAACAATATAGGCAGTAATTCTACAGGTGATAGTAACTGCATATAATGAAACAGGCAGAAGTTATATGGCAAAAACCAGCACAGATTCAAATCTGACATTTGGAATAATTACATACCAGGGCTGAAGAGGACGATTGCTTTCAAATATGCATATTCATATCCATCTAGGCAAAGCTTAACCATGCTGTTACAGAACTCTTGCAATTTGAAGATATGCTCCATTACTAATTTTCCTCTGTCTGTTGGCAGCTTATCTAAGTCAACACACACATAAAATACAAAACTTGCAGGTCAACACACACATGCAAATATTGTGGTCATACTGGATTTAAAAAAAATAATGATTGGTATTAGATTCAAACAGTGGGAAATCTATGTCGTCTATAAACACACATAGTAGGTCTGAATAATCGACACAAACAATTATGGACTATAACGATCTCCCCCACCCCCCTTCTTTTTCCCTCTCTCTTTTTTATTTTTCTCCTCACATTGTACAATTAGGTCTCTTCCTGCCACTAAAGCTTCCAATAATCAGAGGCGACTAGAGCTTGAAATGATCAAGGAAGGGAGAGACGACTTGTAAGTCGAGAATATACTGCTACTGCAGATCTGTGCTTTATGTCTAAGAGCCAGGTACCATGAGGTAGGTTAGTGTGCAGTTTCATGGTTATTTCAGTCAGTCAAAGACCATGCCACTGCTGAAAAAGAAGGTGCACTATACACCTTTCCTGATTTGCATCTAGGGGAACGTGGTTGCTGCAGAGCTGTTCTCCTTGGGTCAGCAATAGCTAAGCTGCCTGAAAATCCTGTTCCCTCCACAGTCCATCCAACTAGGGTCCCTGGGCCCCACATACTTGTTACCTCTTGGAAATGCTGCAGCTGGCATACTACACGACCAGAAGACACTGGATATAAACTTCTGATTTGTGTATTCAGACTGAATTCCCAAATTAAATGGCAAATATATATGTATTTGTAGTAATGATAAAACCATAGTTAATTACTACAATACCCTTTTTGGTGAGCATGCTTTAAAATCATGTAGAGCAGAATAACTTCCCAAATTCCATTTGTATCACTCCTAAAGACATTCACAGACTTATTTGTTAATATCTTTACCTGATCCATTACATTTAGTGGTTTAAAAAATTTGTTTTAATTTTGTTAATTGTTTTAATTTTGTAATTTGAGGGCATATATTGTGAATACTTTTAAAATGTGAAAACTCCTCAGAAATAATTCTTTAATTCCCCTTTTATCACAAAAGGAGAGGAAAAATCTATAGTCTTGTGGACTGTTTTTCTACAGCTTATCAATCTGTTCTTGCCTAGCATTAACTACAGTGAATTTTCACCAACATAACAGCAAATAAATCTAAAATCTAGTTAAAACTGAAAATATTAACATTTTTGTATGTGCATCTACCTTTATTAAAAGTGTGGTGAGACTATGAACAGATGAAGACTACACTATACTATTTTGACTGGTTAGCTTTTAGTGCTGACAACCAACCTTGTAAGCACACAAAAGAGATTAGCTAGAAGACTCCCCTACCCTTCAGAAGAACATTTCCGTCACTCTAGAGTAAATGAAAGAGGAGGCCAACTGACATCTCTTTCATTTGAATGAAAAATAGGCAAAAGATGCAGGACACAGGATTAATAGGGAACAAAGCACATTTAGTGACGATGTGTTGAAGACTTGCATGTGGTCTAAATCTAGCATACAGAAGTCAGCAAGCCAAGTTATGTAAAGGAAGTTTATCACCAAATTGGCATTCGGCTGATTTGTGTCACAGCTATAAACAGCAAGGACAGGTGGGTCATTCTTTACTCATATTCACAGTATATTTGTGTTCTCAACATTGATGCTGCCTGAAATATTCCTAATTTGAGCTGATACATATTAATAGAACAGCAAAACACTATCAGACGTTACACAGACACACAATAAAAACCACCCCAGTAAATGCTAACCTATTAGATAGATGGGTAATTTTTAATTTTTTTTTTTAATTTGAGGGCATATATTAGCATAGCTGACTTTTGCAAAATGGATAAAAATTCCATCTTGTCAATTGTATTCTCAAGTATTATTTTCTTTCAATACTAACCACAAAACTCTATAAACAGTATATTTTCATTAACAACTGAAGGATAAGTAAAAAGCTTCTGTGCAGTTCAAAACTTAAAAACCATGAAGTAATTCCCAAAGTCTGGCAATGTACACAGTGTACACCTTACCTTGCTGTAAACTGCCATGAAGGTGATTAACAAATGCAGTTAATATAGTTGCCACATTCATAACTTGTGAACATTGTGCAAGACCAAGCGTAAAAAGTTCGTTCCAGCAGGCTTTTACTAATGATATGCTGTTATCCTGTCTATTAAAAAATACAAAAATTTCACTTAATAAAACCAGCCATTTGCATTCACATAGTTTTTTTAATTTGAAGAACACTTCATAAAACATTCATCTAATTCAACATTGCAACCAGTACCAAAATGAAGCCCTGTATCAAAAATATTTTTATTTGCATGGTAGGGTTAAAACATCTGTTTTAGTGACATTTGTAAAGAAGAAATTTTTGTTCTGATGATCTAAAAGGGACAGATTTCTATCACAAAAGCAGACTGAAGTTAAAATAAATGACAACTGTCTGGGCATATTCCATCATGCTAGTTTTCCTAGAATTTGCACTAATTTTTTAATAACATCTACATACATGGACCAAAAAAGCTTGCATTGTTCCTGTATTGTGGATGTAGAATAGACTCAAAAGTCTTTCCCCCCCCCCACTTGAAATTTGTCAGGTCGGTATAATTTCTTAATTAAAAATACATGTGAGATGGAACATGTGAGATTGAGTTTCGGACCTTTCTGACTGCTATTTTTGTATCCCCTCCATGTTTGGAATAAGGTCTGAAATACAGACTTCAAAGCATAAATAGAAGTCATGAGGATTTCTCTGCTGTAAGAATTAGTCCTTAAACTAAGTTTCATGTGTAGTCAATTTTTTTTTTTTTCAAATACTGAAATTTAAAATTAGTTATGTCAATCCATATTCAGGCACTTCCATATTAGTAATCTAACTTTCAGTACTGCCAAGCATCTCTAACTTGTAGAGCTTAACAAGAGCTCAGTACCTTAAAAAGGAAATCCTAACAGTGAGGAGTCAAATTCAGGTACCATGTTTCACAGTTTTAGCCAGTAAATATAAATAACAGAAATTTAAAAGAAGCACAAGAGCTATCAAAGAAGAAAAGCATATTAAAGCTAGGATTTCAGCTACAAAAATATAATGGAATGGATTTTTGCAAGAATGCTGATGCAATCTTCAAGAACATTTCTGATGATGTACTGCAATACTAATATGCCAAATGACAGATTACATTAATGTAGACTTGCCCTGTACTGGGTTACACAGAGCTTACCTAGGGCAGTATTTTTTTACTATGATTCAGTTCTTGTTATGGTGGACATGATACTGTACATGCAGCTTCTGCACATTTGTCACATCCCCATTCATCTCCTGTCAAAGGGACTATGCTGAGGGACAGTGAAAATAGGGTGTACTGGCTACTCAGCCGGTATGTGTGTAGTAGATCTAGAGCAACTTTACAACTGATGAGACTCAGGCTAGAACCAGCTGATCAAACTTAAGCAGCCTCCAAAAACTAAGAGGCTGTAACCAGCTTAATGAACATTTCAGGAGAATCTCTCTGGTCTACAAAGATCCTTGTGCAGGAAGATGAACTAAGCAATAATTTGGTATCATTAACTAAATCGGTGTGCCGAAGCCAAGCTTATTGCCTAGACTAAGGAAAACATTGCCTGAGGAGGGAACCATGTGGATCCAGTTATCTCTCTTCCTTACAAAAACATCACTATAGTTTTGTTTTGGCTCGTCAAATCCTCTCAATTACTAGTACAAGGAATTTATCTTCATTTTAAAAGTGAAATGAGTCACACTTCTAAAAGTCAAAATTATAGTACATAATGTGCTGAAACTAAAAATGCTGCATTAATTTCAAATAAATCTCCACTTGAAAAAAGTTAGTATTTTAAGCTCTTCAAAAGGAAAACTGTATATTTATGTTCAATAGTGTTTAAATATACTGTTGCCCATGATCATGACTGGGACTGTAAATGCTAACACAGGTGAATATTAACACTATTAAGACAGCCTACTCCTCCATTTTTTAATTCAAACAGAAAACTATATTGGGAATTACCATATTAAAAAAAAATGCACATTTTCTATAAGCATTTCTTGTTAAATATTTTTGGAGAGACAGATCTTCTGCACAACATTTTATTTTTAAAAAGCATTTCCCATTTGTTGTTACAACACTAATTTGCAGTGCCTCTGTTACAAAAACCTTTTAAAAATGTATAATGATATAATAAACTATGTAATTTGCTATGTATTTTGAAATTCTGCAGGGCAACGACTTCTACTAAACTAAAACATCATATCTACCTGATTTTTTTTATACTTGCTATTGTTTATCTTTATACAATTTTACTTTTTCCTTCTCCAAAGCACGGGTTTTGATTACACACAATATAGTATCTTTCCAAAAACTTTCCCTAAACAATGCAGAATCATTTGGCTTAAACATCTGCGTAAACACAAATGGTGATCACAGATCATCCTGGTTTTGACAGCCTTCCTGGAAAAGGGGACAATCCCTCACTTTAAAAAGGAATTATCTTTGTTGCCACAGTCATACATTATTTTGATATTGAATTAAATAAAACCACTGTGGATGACAACAGACAATCATGATTTATAGTAATTTTGTGTCAGAGCTGATACAGTATCTTTATTTGTTTGATGTGTCTTCATAAAATTGCTTCTGAAAATGACAGAAATTACTTTTCCCAATGCTGTTTTGAGATGTTTTCTCATGATGCTCAGCAATGTACTACTACATTTAGCTTAAGAACTTCAAGCAATACACTGATTTCTACTGGAAAAGCAGGATGTTATACAAACTAAAAAGAATAATAAGAATCACTTTCTGGTTACAGCAACCATTTGCTTTTGGGAAATCCCCTGAAATTAGACAACTTAACCCTGAATGACTGCTGAATCCAGCTAACCATTTTCTTCATATAGGTTATTAAAGGGAAAATTATTACTACTAATTCACCTATAAAGATAACAATATTTGAGGATCCAAAGAGGAGCTGGTTCTTTTTGGTGACTGTCTGATAAACATCTTAGTTTGGGATGGAGCTATTAAAAAATGATAGGAAATCCTATTTAATAAAAATGTATTAAAGTGGTAGCAGTGTGCAGACATTTGATTGTTAATAAATCTACTCCTTTTTCCTTGAAAACCCAACTAAAGTACCTGAATTGGACTGAAGTTGGGAGTAGTTTTCATTCACAAAATTTACCTTCATGATGAAGATCTATAAAATAGTTTTAATAAGTAGATTTGTATTTTAAAATGTCCCTGAATAAGATAGAGAAAATAAAACATTAAAAAGTGCGTATTCACAAGATGAGTGAGTAGAGGAACTGAACACTTACCCTAAAGCTTGGAAAGATGGAATGGAACGTGCCCAGTGCATGGACAGGAAAAGCAACCTAGAAGCAGACTCGCAGATATAGTGAACATTAAGATATTCAGGCATAGGAGAAGGCATGGTGAGCTGGTAACAAAAACAAACAAACAAAAAATTGCAAGTCAGTTATTTTACTTTCTTCAGAAAAAAAAAAAAAAAAAACATGGAAAAAAAAAAAAAAACATGGTAAGAAATAAATCCTAAGAGTTTCTTTTAAGTGAAAAAGTAAAATTGCTTTTTTAAATAAACATGAGATAATACTGAAATAAAACTGAATAACTGCCTTTATCATTATTAGCCACACTGTTATACCCTATAGTAACTACAAAGCAACAAGAAAGGCAAAAATTTGGAATCTTTATCTTAGATAAATATTCATGCCTGGGACACCTGGAGATGGAAAATTACAAATAAAACTCAACTTTTGAGACACTCTCAAAGAACAAAAGTTTTAGAAGAATCATTGCAATTAGAATGAAATTGCTTCACACTTATATATAGATAAATACATAAAAAGTACAAACACAGAGGCATCATTACTTTCTAAAGCTTCTCCCAGAGGACTGGAATAAGGGGTCTGAAAAATTAGAGGATTCCCCCCAGTTCCTGGGGAGAGTGTGCGTGTGTGAATTCTATTTCACAAAAAAAATCTTTTTTTTATACTTATAATTAATATGTGACAAATAAATGCATCAGAATTCTTTTGATGTGTAAAATACTTAATATACAGCTGCTCCCAAGTCCTAAAAATATAATCAACAGACATCAGAAAGGATCAGCTCTACCCTTCTCAACCTGCATGAATAAAATCAGTGGCGCTACCTGCATATGTGAAGAAAATTTCAACCACAAACTGCTAAATATAGTGTTGTAGTTTTATCTTCAGAAATTAATATTTCTTAATATAATGGTTTGGCTAACACAATTTTCACGTGCTGATGAGAGGGTGTCGTGGTTTAACCCCGCCTGGCAACTAAGCACCACAGAGCTGCTTGCTCATTCCCCCGCAGTGGGATGGGGGGAGAGAATTATAAGGGTAAAAGTGAGAAAACTCATGGGTTGAGATAAAAGCAGTTTAATAACTTAAATAAAATATAACAATAATAATAATTGTAGTGAAAAGGAAAATAATAAAAAATGAAAAATAACAAAGAGATAAATAAAACCCAAGAAAGACAAGTGATGCAAATGAAAACAATTGCTCACCAATTGACTGATGCCCAGCCAGTCCCTGAGCAGCAGTTCCCCCGCCAAGCTCCCCTCTAGTTTTATTGCTGAGCATGATGTCATATGGTGTGGGATATCCCTGTGGTCAGTTGGGGCCAGCTGCCCCAGCTGCGTCCCCTCCCAACCTCTTGTGCACCCCCAGCCCACTCACTGGTGGGGTGGGGTGAGAAGCAGAAAAGGCCTCGACTCTGTGTAAGCTCAGCAGTAACTCAGACATCTCTGAATTATCAGCACCGTTTCCAGCACAAATCCAAAACACAGCCCCTTAACAGCTACCGTGAAGAAAATTAACTCTACCCCAGACAAAATCAGCACAGAGGGGCAAAGTTTAATAAAATGCCTCGTAATGAAGAATTTTTCAGATGAGCAAGCTTTTTGATTTGTCCAAGAATAATAAGATGGAAAAAAAGGACAGAAGAATTTCTGCAGGCTCATAAAATGAGAAATAAAGCCAGAAAATACATGGCTCACTAAAAAAGAAACTGTATTTTCCCTTAATGATTAAAGTTAATTAATACCATACTAAAATAGGGTATATAGACAAAGGAGAAACTGATAAACACACTTAAGAGCCTCAAAATCCAGTTGCAAATTACATCTGATTCACTTGTTAACAAGAGAGAGAAGGTGGATGTTGACTCTGCTTCACGCTACTCTATGTAAGTTCTTTTGCACTGATTACCTAGTATTTTTAAGGTAAGAAGCTATAAAATAAACAGTGCAGTTAAACCACTGAAGAGCTGTACATTTTCCCAAATAGTTAACCCGTGAACAAAAGCAGTGTATTCATTTCTGATTAATACCTGATCAAACAGTTAACTCTTCTAAGAAATTAAAAATAAAACTTAATCAGATCATTATTTTATATTACTGTGTTAAAATGCTTATAAATAGTCAACAGTAAAAAAGTACCCTGAATGCTACATGTGCATCACTGAGTAGCGGCCCCTCTATCTCAATGATATTCATGCTCGTTTCTCCGCCAATCAGCTGCACACTGGCTTCAACACCTTCAGAGTTCTGGCACGCTGTGCTCTCTCCTGGATTTAATGCTTTTGCAAGAGTATCAAAGGCCCTGTAAGATCACAACAAAGGAACAGATAAAATAAAACTTCATAGAGTCTGTTTCAATTTGGGAGGAACCTGCACATGTCTGAAATCTGTATTTAGATGTCTGTTTCAAACACTCCACTGAATAAAATCCCTGAAAACTCCAACTGACAGTGGCTCTGAAACAAAAATTAGCAGCAGATCCTGTTCACTCTAGCTGCCAACAAATTCAGTTTTGTCATATTGATTGTGCTGCTGAATTAGTTTGCCTTTCCAGATCTCCTTAGGGATGTTTACTGAGAGTGCTGGCATGAGTGTTTTGAGCACAGGATCATCAGAGTGCTGTTAAAGCAACTTAATTTACATGTAAATTCTACAGACTTCTGCTGCTATGAAGCACAACTGGAACAAGCTTAAGCTTTTTTTTTTTTTTTTTTTTTTAAGTAATGAGTCGTGGTTATGTTATTCAACTTAATTTGAAAATACTGTTTTGCAATATCTAAGAGAAAGCACTCTCATGCTTTCAGTACCATCCTTAGTATCCTTTGATATGGGACAATGACTCCTGTGAAGACCAAGTCACATATACGAATGTTATGGGGGAGATGCCAGGAAGAGCACAGATATTATTCATTATTTTGCTGCTTGATAACAGATCCATTGTTTTTCTGTGCGTGGATACATCTGAGAGCCAAAACTGATGTATCTTAAATAAAAAATATACAGATTTGATCACTGCCTACAGACAGATGATATATCCTGAGAGCAGTATCATTTGTATACAGCACTGCATGAAAAACTTATGCATAGAAGTCTGAAAACTTTACAAAAGCTGATTATCAGTTTGTATGTACAACTGATTCTCAATTTAAAGAGACATGTTTATTACCACAGAATCTAAACTCACCGATTTAATACCAAAATCTGGAGTAGAATTTTGCCACCTTCTCTTCACCCACACTCCCTAGCTATTTAAATCCATTAACATGCTAAAAAAAAAAAAAAATCAAAATGTTTACTATGTTTGACATAACCATTTACAGCCACACAAAAAAAACACAATAAAAGAGCTGCTGACACCGCCTCAGGCTTAAGATGGTAAATGAACTAGTTGTTGGTCCGACACTAGCCTGCGCACCTTGATGCACACACACGATGGTGACTGGGGCATGCCCAACTGGACTAAACAGAGGTAAGTGGACTACAGATACTCTTGGGATGTTTTGCGTCTCAGGTATATGGAAAGTAGGCATAAAGGGAATGCATTCGTGGGTGAGCTCTAGAAGTTCTATTATTGGACTCCTGCTAGGAGATCTGAGATTTAGGTTCTGTGTGGCTCACTCTTGGCAGTCTTAGATAGAACAGGCAAACCCAGCAGCTCAGGGGCAGCTGCTTCTTAGGAAAAGTAGGATCTCTGCAGGGCTCTTCATGTAGGAGGGCCAGAAATGTAAGAGAGGAATGAGATCTCTCCTTTCCCCAAAAGGTAAATTCTCCTCTGCCACAATCCTGTATTTACTCTACTATAGGCTGAAGAGTCCTTTTCAAACAGGGTGGGCAGCACACTAGTTAACCATGTCAGCCCATGATACTTTCTTTACAACTTATTCTTGAATGTTTGCTTTCAAAGAAATCTTACGCCTCCTATCTCAGAAACTGAGAGTACCAAGCCAACAGAAGTCAACAGAAGCTTTGTTTCCCCACGGCTCAGCACTGTGGGTCCTTTTCATACATGAAGCCCCAACATCAGCAACAACTGCAAGGTAAAATACCAAGGAAAAGAGAATCGAGAACAAAGCTTGCCTGGAAGCTATGAAAACCTAGGTCACTAAGCGAGAAAAGAGGGTATAATCAACATTAAAATACATGGTATTGATATCCTTTGCTAGAAACAACTTTGGCTCTCTTTTTGTCAGGCCCAGTCACTAACAGATATATGACTGCTGATAAACTGTAAAAAAATGAACAGATAATGAAGCCATTAGAGGACAAGGCATATAACATTATAATACAAAAGCAGAGGAACGCTAACAACAAAGTTGTACACTAAATTTGTGTCAGCAAAAGTGAAAACTTTACTGTAGCTGCAAGCTACGGAATATAATAAAATACGTGAAAAACACGGATGGGAAAAACTTGCTTCCTGAAATTCCTTAAACTCCTTTTCTTCAGTAAACATCTGCATCTGTTAGATCAAGCTGGCATAAGGCCTTGTAAGGAAATCAAAGATTTAGATAAAAATTTTAGTTTCCACTTAGGTAACAACTTCTCTTTCACAGGAGTATTTAACTTGAACCTCCCCACTGGAAATCTATTAGGTAACCTACTGGACAGGAGTACTCACTAAGCTGAGTCAGAGATTTTTCAAGCCCTCTGGCTGAGAGAACTTGGTGTCTTGTTATAGTCAGATTTTTAAAAATGAACAGAAACACGGAGGTTGGCAAAAGCAAGCAACTGAAAGTGCCAGGAAATAAAGTAATCAAAGATTATAATGCAACCTTATTACTACATCTTTTGGAACAGCTGTAGTATCGAATGAAGTTTATCAGCATGTACAATGATACTATTTACACACATATTCTTATTTTCTTTACTTAGGAGGACATAGCAAAGGCCCAAATCAGCACCTGCATAAAGTCACACTGACTTTCCAAGCAGCATATAAAGAAAGGAGCAGAACAAATGCATTCGGCTTGCAATTATACAAAGCAGTAGAGACTACAGGGAAAAATGATGTATTTCAGTCAGTACAAACTAATTCACCATACACCAATCTTTTTTACCTCTGCGGATTTACTCCACATAGACATTTTTTAAACCAGCATGTACAATGTAGTTAGTGTGTAAAGGAATATTGCTGGGACGTCAGAAGCTTGCATGAGATAGTAACCGAGGAAGAATACAATTGTAACTGACAGAATAACTGAGTATGTATTACACAGAGCATCTTATACATACGCTCACCAAAATGGCCCAGTTCAAACCAGTGCAAGACACAAGTCTGTAAGATACTGAATGAACGTATTTGTATTGACGGTGAAAATTCTGTGAGTTCTGTGTAGAAAGAAAATGCTTTTCAAGCTTTTAGGACTGTTAATAGTTACAGGTATTAAACTACTTACACAGGCAAGATCTCTAAGAAAGAGTTTTCCAGGATGATACAAAGTACTTAGACTATAGACAAGATCTAAGACATGTTGAGGACAACCAAAAGGTAAAAAAATCAGCTGATTTACACTGAAATTCATTTCAAGGACAAACAATTGAAAGTATTTATTTCTCAAATGGAATTTCCTTATGATTTCACTTTATTTGGAAGAATCTTAGATCTACCTTCTACATGAGCTCAGACTGTTATTTTTAATGCTGTTAAATGACCTATATTTTCAAGTGTAACATCCCTTACCTTGTAACATCACTACTAGCTTGTTCTTCTTGCTGGAGTTCAGATAATGATGCATCTCCGTTACTTAAACTCTCAATCATGGATAGTTCTGTACTGCCTTGTGACACGTCTTTGCACTTACTGAGATTTGCTAATGAAGTCACCACATTTGCCAGTGTACTTAAATCTCCCTGACATGCTTCAACCTAAAGGAAAAGTAGAGTTTTTAATTCACTCATATTGGCAGCAGTTAACTTGCAGTAGAAAAATTTAACTTTTACATAAACTAAGAATTGGGCATGTGAATAGACCTGTAAGAAAATTACTATTTTCAGTACACAGGTAATCATAATGCAGTAATTAGACACTGCACTGCTTCTAAAATATGAAATATCTAGACATCTACTTTTACAAGTAATAGCTATCTATTTCTTTCAGAAAGAATGCTACAGATGGTAAGTGCAGAATTGTCTCCACTTACTAGTCAGTCACCAGGACCATAAAACTGCACTAGATTGTATTTTTAGCATCTTCCTTCCTTCTTTGTGTAAATGAGACAGTAGTAATAGGGTAAGAGAATGTTTTAAAAGAAGGAATGGATAAAAAGTCATTTTTAAAAGCAAGCAGAAAAAGATTTCTGATGCAGACATTTTGTTTTTTATGTCTTTATTTAACTGCAAGGGAACAAGGTGATTCAGTAGTGGCGAGCAACTCAGAGGCAGCAAGACGTGTTTCCCACCCTGACCCACAAAAAAACATTAATAAGGAAAGTGCATGATTACAGACAAGTATGCTGCTGCTAACACCATTATGCTACATGTCATTTCTTTTGCGTTGTCATACTCTACAGATGGAGCCAGAAAAGTTAAATGGAATAAACAACTTTCTATGGGGCCTTTTGCAGACAGAGCAAGCAAGGCAAAATGCATGAAAACAGTATGAGGTAATTTAATATCAGCTAGAAAAATACAAAAGCTTCCTACTGTGCATGCGTAGAGAAGTTATTACATGGCTTTAGTGGATCAGTAAGTGTAACAAAATAGAAACAAAGGAAAACCAGCTCAGAAATAAGACTGTTGCTGAGATAGCTCTTATAGATAGCTAACTTATCTATCTTATAGATAGCTTTGCAAAAAAACCAGCAATTCAAGGGAAAAAAACCCCTAACAGTATTTATGAAATGCACTGTGATAATGCCGTGGGAGGTTTTGCAAACACCTCACTCTACTGGGATAAAAGAAATATCCAAGTATCAGAATTGCTCAAAACAAAGAAAAAATATGCAGCCCTTAAAGCTCTCTAAAAACATGGAGGAAGGCATTTACTTTTTAGTAAATTTATTTTTAGTTTTTAGCATTTTTACTATGCAAGGCTAAAAGCATTCTTGTGAAGAAAAGGCATTTGCCACAGTAGCTAATGTTTGTAAAGTCGTGTTCTAAAAATTAATTTAGCAAAACAGAACATCGTTCCCTCCCTACATCCACAATTACAGCAATCAACTCTACTTAATATACCCGTCATATCATCATATACCTTATCTGGAGTCATCAGCACAGCAGGCTCACTTTTTACTGCAGACTGATGAATGTTAACAAACATTCCTGATTCCAGCAGACCTGTCGATCTGACATAAAACAGCATACATTTTAATTTTGGTTAATTTTTAAATTATTTTTTCCTGTTTCAGGAAACAGGGAGCTGCTCCAGAGCAGAATTTACATACCTTGCTGTTTCATTGTCTGTTACAAAAGTTGGAGTTGCAGCTAATGGACTACGAAGATCTTTCCGAATGTAGATCTTCTCTGTAGAAGCTGCACAGTTTGAAGATTTTTCTCTTGACATTTCAATAGGTTTCCGCTCGCACTGTACAGCTAACAAAACAATATGCAACTATTAAGTCAAATCTCAAATTACAGACTAAGAAATAATCCTTTTTCCCCTCTCTTCGATCTGCAGTTTTAATAATGGTTCTGAATATAACTAAAAAAAACCCACCCCATAACCAATAAGCTAATAACTTGGGTAAAGAATGACACACCAATTTGATTTGTTCTGAATGAAATGATGTAGTAGTCAAAGTCTGAGACCAAACATAAAGACACTTAATTTTTCAAGTTACAATTAAGGGAGAAATCCTCTTATATGTTATTTTTAATTTGGATCTTTAAATGGAAGCTTACAGCTTCTCCTTCTCTCAATTTCACTATCCCACTCTCAGTTCATTTGTAAAGGACTCATGGTACCCTGGTACCCTTTCCCATGGATTGTGGGTCTAGGTTGAACCCACATAACTTTACATACTCAAAAGAAGCTCCCCAAGTTAGGAGGGA